CAAGTAGCACTTGAGTCAGAGCTCTGTGATTTGAGGTAGCTGTTCACAGCTATTGGCTTTGCTACAGGAGCACAGCATCAGTCAAAAGAGAGAGTAAGGGCAGTGTTTGTAAAATCATGCTGTGCCTTTTGCTATTTTTCCATCCTCCGGACCCTTACAGTAGAGACAGCCTTGTGTGAAACTGCCCTCTGATGATTATGGTTATGACTGTCTGCAATGAATACTAAAGAGGTGAGCAAATCAGCTGCCATTGCAGGTTTATATTGAAGGACATATTTTCTTTCTGCAAGGATGCCGATACTGGGGCTCCCGGGTTTCTTCTTCCAGGAATCCTTATTTTGCAGTCGCTTTCACCTGCAATGCTTTTCTAGCAGAAACTTCTAGCAGGCTGCCTCAATGAACTGCATCCTCACTTTCTGTCGCCTCTTCCGCTTCAGCTGTTTTTGTTGCAAGAGCTTTTGTTCTGCTCAGAGTATCTATCCATCCTGGTGCTCTCCGGTGCCAGCTTCCAGAAGGCCTCTTTGTGCTGTTGCACAGGCTTGCTATTGTCTTGGAAAGTCCCTCATCATACCTTGCTGAACTGTGCAGAACAGGAAAGCCTGTGGGCTGGAGGGTGATTGCACATATATATGCTCTATATTGACATTGCTGTGGTCCTTCTAGTTGTGTCACTGTTACAGGTTTGGCACAAGACAGTTTCTGCTGTCAGGAGCTGCTAGCATGGCAAGTAAAGTGGATGTGCCTCTTGCAAAGCTGTCCTTAAGAGCTGCAGTTACCTGTAGCTGAGTGTTAAGTGCTACCTGTGATGCCTTAAAAAGTAATGCTGCTTTTGGGGCAGTGTTTAATATTGGGCAAGCTGAGCCAGTATGCTTCTGATTTGGAGAACTACCTGAGAGTATACGTGATTTTCAGCTCTCGACATATTCTGTGAGCTAAACACTATAGCACCTAGACATGCATGTGTAAAACCATTTTTATGATGTGGACTGGAGAATGTGAAGATACTTGCAGCTTATCTGTATTTATTGTGGCTTTGAATTTTGGTGTCTAATAAGTAAAATATAGCGGAGTCCTTTGTGGCTGGGCAGTACTGTGATAGTTGGAAGCTTTGAACCTTTACTGCATGCTGAAAGCTGGAGATGCAGTCAGCTGGCCTGGACCTGATATTAGCTGCTGTAGGAACGCTGGGCATCTGCATGGGTGGTGGGAACTGACAGATCCCAGGAAGGTAGGTGCTGATTTTCAGGCCTCTGTAAGCCTCATCACAGGCTTATGCTTGAGAGCCTTCAGTCTAAACAAGGGAAAACCTAACAGTTGAAAACATAAATAATGTATTCGGAAGAGGCAGCTTCAGGCCATACAAAGAAGCTGTTCGCTTCTCAGCCATTCGCAGGGCCCATGGGGCTCCACCTGCTCAGCTATCCACGTGTGTCACGTTGCAGATGTTTGTTAGCATGTGGAATCCAGAGCAGGCTTCTCAGAGCAGCTCCGCACGCAGGGCGCTGAGTCACCCACAAGATCCTGCCTCCAGCCGCGTGTTTCAAGCACGGGGATTTTCATCTATTGCTTTGTATGGTGACTCTTCTGCCTGGGTTTTCTTTTTCTTTTTTTTCTTCTGCAAGGTCTGTCTGCATGACAGAGTATGTGTGTATCTGAGCACCAAAACAGAATGTATGTTCTGTAAAGGAAACTTTTCCTAGCTGTGTTTATCCAAACTGTGTCGTGTCCATGGGAGGGTGGGGGGCAAGCCAGCCAGGGACCTGTGACCTCTTCCTAAAGAACGGGCCGTGGAAGACTCAGACATGCTAGCAGGCTGTCATGAGTAAATGTCAGTAAATGAGCAGAAGTTACCAACTTTTTAAAAAAGAAATTCTTATTCACTTTCCTTAAGATCACTTAAATTTTATTGATGCTCCCTCATTTATACCTGTGTACACAAATGTAAAGCTGTTGACTTTTAATGTAGCCAAAGCTTTTGTTTGATGTGTAGATTATCGAAATTCCTTTCACTTGCAAACATACCATGAGTAATATTACACATATCTTTCAGGATATTGCTTTAAAACTCATGGCTGTTCATTTACTCGTTGTCCATCCTGTGCAGCAAGCAGCTTGTTTGCTCTGCTGTCAGTTGCAGCAAAATACGTATTTCTTTTTGATGTTGCTTTTGGAACAGTATGATGAGGGAATTCCTGCTTCCTTCCTGCGTGTGGATTTCTGGATCTCTTTAACAGAGCAGCCTCACTGGTTTCACTGCCAGTAGCTAGTGGATGTTCTGACTTCTGCCCAGCCTAAAGAGGCCATTAAAAGTTAGAGGATTAAAAGTTGACGACAATTAAAATTAGTATAGATTTATTTCAAATGTTACTGTCCAATTATCTTTGACTTCTTTAGAGTGAGTGCACTGTTCTTTATTGAACTGCTGGTTTCATACCAAACTCACTATTTGGAATTTTAAGTGAACACTGAGTTCACTATTAAATTATTACTTGAATTGATTTTATAAACAATATTTAACACATCACTTTAATAGTGACAGAGTTAGTATCTTTCTGTTCCTTTCTCATCTATATGAAACAAAGTGAAAAATGTGCTTAAAATGATGTTTTAAATTTGAGAGGACATTGTTCTTAAAATGATGTTTTAAATTTGAGAGGACATATCCAGTCCCTCTTTGATCCGAGTTGGAGCTGAGCTTCCATGATGAACCACCCAGGTCTGAAAAGTAAAAGGGCACGCCTTATTTCTAAAACATTATTCCTAGCTCTTAACTCAGTCCAAGCACTTCTGCATGCCAAGAGAACAACCTTTGCTAGCTGTAACTGCACATTCAGTTGTGTTGTCCAGGAGCCCACAGGAAGGCTGTGGGAAGTCTGGTTTCTTCCAAGCTTTGGATGTGTATAGAAGTGGTCAGAGGGGCAGCCTGGTTCTGAGGGAACTGCTGGCACTGCAGGCATAGCCCTGACTATCAGAGCATGAATTTTTGGGGCCTGCTTTCTCTTACTGGCTTTCATGCCCTCTTTTTTTTTTTTTTTAAATCTTCTCTTCTTTAAGACAAATAGTAAGGGACTGGCTTCTCGATGTCAGTAGGTATGGACAATTTAAATGACCTCATAAAATTTTGTTCATAGGAAGTTGCATATGTTAGGAACTTTGTCATCTTGGACTTTAATTCTATATGTAGTTATAGACTTAAATATTACTGAGGGTAGATTTACTCTGGTGGGGCCTGCTTGTTTGTTTGATAAATATTTTTATCTAGGTTGCTCCAACATACCTAGAAATGGGTGGAGTTTACTGGCAGTCTTGGTTTTCTCTGCAGAATTGTATATCAGGCTTCCAACGGGTATATCTTTGCAAAATCTCAATGGAAATAGTCCACGTGCTCTTCAAATCCCAGAGAGGACCTGCTGTCTTTCACTGAAGAAGAAGGTTGAGGTCTACAGTGGAGGTAGTTCGGCTGGCCCTACATCTGACCTGTGCAGTGGGAGCTACAGGGTGTCACTATGGACAGAAGTGTGGAGTCCTCACCAAACCATTTGTTTTCAATAACAATATTGCAAGCTTTTTTGGTATTTGATCGTTTCTGAGATGTGTCTTTCTTGGCTTGTTACTAGTGAACTTCCTGGATTAGCTTTGAGAACAATATTTGCTCTTTTCTTTGAAAATCTTGCCTCAGATCTTTGAAACGGTTGATGAGATGAACATGAATATGCTCACCTTTTATCTCAGCAGTGTCTTGCAACAGAAGGATATGGCTAGTGTAGAATCAAAGAGTATAAAATTCAGTAATATGCATTTCAAGTCAGTGCACTTGGGGACAGATGCTACTATGAAGTAGAACTACTTACAGAAAAGGACCTTAATTAACTTATTAATTCAAAGTGAAAATTATAAAATTATATATATAATTTTATATTGTATGGCTACGCAGGTAGCAGATACTCAGCACAAAGTGCCATTTTTTCAAGTCTTGCTGAAAGGTTTTCTGAATGCTGTGGAAATCTGCACAGCTATGCTGCAGAGGTCCTGCTGCAATGACCAGCAAATGAAGATGTGACTTTGCAGAAGACTTGGAGAATTGATTTGTTTATTCTAGCCTACCTGGGCACTGGGACAGGCTCCGATTGCTTTCTGCAACACATTAGGAAATCAGCTCAGGAAGAAGAGCCATTAGAGCTGGAGGATAATGTTGGCAGAAGAACAAATGAGTTTAAGCTGACAGGAAATGTTTCTAATGATTTAGAGACATCAGGCTACAAAACAGCTTCCCAGCCATACAATTGGGGTTGCAAAGCTGAGTTATTTTCAGAGTAGAGGTTGCTACTTTTGTTTATAAAACATTCATTGTATCATGTTCACTGTGACTGCTAGGTACCAAGTAAGTCATCTAAAAAGCCCTATCCCAAGAAGAAGAAGAAACCAGTATTTGAGCAAGCGGAACAGCTACATCTTCTAGAAGTTATCTAAAAATTAAATACAGATCTGGGAAATTGGATCATCGCGCAATGAAATAGCGAAAACAAAGGCAGAGATGTCAAATCACTAGAAATGGGTGGAGTTTACTGGCAGTCTTGGTTTTCTCTGCAGAATTGTATATCAGGCTTCCAACGTGTATATCTTTGCAAAATCTCAGTGGAAATAGTCCATTTTTTGTCCAGCACTATATGGAGGAATCCCAGGTCTAATTCTGTCTCTGTATCTTTAGGCTATGTTTGACTCTTTTTGTTCTGACTTGGACAGCATTAAGGATAATACTGTAGGTTTGTGAGTTAAGTTCACACTGACATCAAGAGAAATGTGCTCATAGAGTACAAGAGGAGAAGGCTGTACGTCATTCAAAACATGAAAAGATACCTTTCTTGATTAAGGAGGGAAGATTCCAGAGTGATGCAACTTTTCCTTTTTTCTTTGAATACGAATTCTGAATTCAATATATCTAGAAAACAATGATCAAAATGTCAAAAATACTTTTCTGTCTTTTTATTTTTTCCTTGTAGCTGGGGAATGGCGGTCAACGTGTACTCTACCTCTATAACCCAAGAGACTATGAGCAGACATGACATCATCGCATGGGTTAATGATATATTAGCTTTAAACTACACAAAAGTTGAACAGCTCTGTTCAGGTAAGAAAATATTGCATGTTCTACAAATGTTTATTTAAAATCCACTTTAAAAGTCTGATTTGTTGAAAATAGATCACTTTCAGTTTTGACATAAAGCAGGTTACTCCACGAAAAGAAACCAATGTATGTACAGAGGAAAAGTTCTTGTGTTCATCTTAATCATGGAAAGATAAGGTGCCTTGAGATAGCGTAACATAGGTGAACAGGAGGAATGTAGCAGGAGATGCATAGAAATAATAAAAAGGATGACTGTGCAGAAGAATATAGCAGTAAGATTTTTTTGTGTGTACTTGAAGGCTACAAGGGTGGTAACTTTACAAATGGAGAGTGGTACATAGCTAAAAAGTGACCAATAGTCTCCTGAAAACGCAAGGAACAGAATTCTGCAGCAGCTGTTCCTTCTGGGTAAGGGTCCTGAAACTCAACGGGTGTATGAACTCTACAGGAGAATATCATCTGTGTGAGCACGGAGGAAAATAAACATTTGAGGAAATCAACATTTAGGCTGCTGTAAGTTGCTTTAGAAGTTTGTCAAGGAAATCTGCCTGTTTCACTTTAAATGTGACTGAACTCTTATAGTAAATATATATATATATATATATATATATATAATATATATATTTTAGGGTTAATGAACCCTAAAAGACGAGTAATGGTTTGAATATTTTGGCCAGTCTGATTAATCAGAGTGGGAACTGCAAGTTACATGTTAAAGAACAGGATCCGTATCCAGATGATGAATAGAAAGATACAGGGAAAGGCTGGTGTTTTACTGAGATTACAGATGCCCTGGGGAGTGATTGTTTCTGATTTCCTGCTGTGATTTTTAAATTTGAAGATGTTTGTGTTGGAGGAGATCTAGTTAGATTGCTACTTCCATACAAATGACATGCTGGGATTATCTTGCGTATGAAGACAATGCTCTAAATACATAGAACTGAACCCACATTACAGCATTTCAGCTGCTTGGTGGTCCAGTTGAAATGGGGTCTTACACTGTCATGTGTGACTTTACCTAGTGTTCTGGGTATGTTTTTTGTGCATAGATGTTCCCTGAAAAGTACAGAAAATTGAGTCTGACAAACTTGTAACATATTCTTTAATTGCTTCTTTCTTACAAATCTCACCTGCGTAATGTATCTTGCATGCTTGAGGAATTGCACAGTGACTATGAAACAAGGTTGAAGAGGAACAGTTTAAAGTGCCTGCAAGAAACTGATAGCAACTGAGTAACTAAAGATACAGAATGTGGGAAATGACCTTTCTGACAATTATTAAGCTTGGAACTGAAGTACTGTATTTAGCTGTTGTTGTATTTACAGGTCTGGAAGTTAGTATTTTCTTTTGGTGAATTATGCATGGAGGAAATATACACGTGGGGATGTGCAGGCATGCGTGTGTTTATATAGGGATGTATGAGTGTGTATATATATACACACTTGCAAGGAGATGGAAGGATGTGTGAAAAGGGGTGTTTTCATCATAAAATACATGTTTGACATTGTTTGAAACAGGAAGTATTCTAGCCATGTTATTGACTTGTTCCTGCATAGCTATTTATGTGCTCTTAAATTGTTGAAAGGAAGCTTTTGAAGTGAATTCTCCACCAAGCTAAATGTGTGTGGGCTTTAAATAAATAAATTAATTAATAAAACTTACCCAAAATAGGGAGGAGGTGATCTAAAAGAATTTTGATTACTGAGAATACAAGAGATAGAGTCAAATTGAGAGATTTTAGCTGGATGGGACAAGCAGGGGAAAAGCATGGAAACAGTCACAAAAGAACCGTCCCATTTCATTATGCAGCTTCTTATACAATTGTTTCTGTGACCTCTAGTGAGGATATTAGGACATACCACAAGGGAAAGACTGAAAAAAGGTTGTTTCATTTAGAGCTCTTACTCCATCCTGTGGAAAATTAATTTTTTTTCTTCCTTTAGAACTTCCTGTATTAATTGCTATTGTTACTTGCTTTTATGTTCATATCTTAGTGGGTCAAACCTGTAAACTTGAATTTCTCCATTTGATTTGATAGTCCAGCTTGATTCTTATTTATTTTATGTTCATTATAGTGCCAAAATGGGATTCAGTATTTCATTATCTCAAGAAGCATTCTTCCTTGCTGGCGCAATCCTTTCTGTTCCGCAAAACTTTAGTCTCTGCATTTCTGAATTCTGCTAAAGTCTGCTGGATCATGGCAGGCACTGGCACACACAAGTCTTACTGACAAGTTCCTTTCCATCTGGGACTGCACAGTTCACCTCTCACGTGCTGTTGCAGGATGTCTTTGCAGGCAGTGAAGGGAATCGGAGGAGAAATTTTGGGGACCTTTATCTAGTATCGTTTACTATTTAAACTACAAATAGTTTATTTCATGCACAGAGAGGTGCCATCCTGCAGATTACACTAAGTGAAACGGTAGCAAAAAACCACCAGCCAGCTTGTGGGCAGACACCACAGGCACAGCATGGCCACAGACTGGGAGCAGCTGTGGCCATTCCTTCTGGTATTCCTCTGGCTGATGCTTCTTAAAGTGTTGGCAGCCTTCTTGGCAGCCTAGTATGAGCTTCCATAAAATATGAGCATTTCTCAAGGACTTGAAAGGGAAGGAATATGTGGGAACCTCTGTAACACTGTGAAGCATGTCATGGCACTAACAGTGGACTTCAGAGCCACTGCCACTGAAATTTTATTACCCCTCGTAAAATTGCGTGGGCCTTTTCTTCTTTTTAAGAAAAAAGGCATTAAGATTTGTCGTGCTGTTTTACAAGCATTCAGGTTTTGTTCATTTTTGTTAACAAGGAGTAATCAAAAGTTCAGAAAAAGCTAAATGCAAAAGCAGGGCAGGGGGGTTAAGGATGCTAGGTCCGGACATCAATCTCAGAGGCTTTTAGGAGACATGAGCCACCTAGATGTGCCTTACAGCCATCTTTAGCACCTCACTGTGAGACTCTGTGTGTGCCTACGCTTTGCAGCCAGCCTGGAAGTAATTGTGGACAATCTGAGCTAAAACAGTAAGGAGTAATATGACATTCTGCCTTTCCTAGAGGGCTTTATTCTGATCTGAAGGGTATACCTAAAACTTAACACTACTGATTGCAGTAAGACAGTTGGTCCTTTTTTTTTTTTCTTTTTTTTTTCTTTCCACTTATTGCTGCATGAAAAAGTAGCTCTAGTAATATGCGTGCTATGGAAGTAGCAGCTTGTTCCCCTATTGCCAGTTACAGGAACAGAGCTAAGATGAGAAGCAGCCAAGGAAAAGGCTGGATTAGTCATAAAGTATTTGTATTCTTCATGAGTCCTACATGTGTTTTTGTCCTTGCTAAGTAGGCCGAGCAATGTGTAGCATCCCCTGAGCTTTCTGAATGCCTGCAGTAGTTGTGATGTGCCAAAAAGGCCAGGTTATGGATGGATGCAGCCTCCGAGAGTCTAAATTTAGTGTGTAGCTCCTCTGGTAATTTAGTTTTGGCAACACAAGAGGGAAAATCTCCCCAAGCATTTCAAACCAGAAATATTCCCTGTGCTTTAGGTGTGTGTCATTTAGTCAGTGTTGGTCTCCATGTTTGACTTCCCTTAAGATTTTTAGCCAGAATATCAAGTTTATGATCCATGCTTATAATGTAAGGCATAGTGTGCATTGCCTTTAGCTGGGCATTAAACTTGGGAGCATTTAATTTGATACAGATGAGTGAAGAATAATAGAAGAAAAACTGAAAGGATTTAATGTATTAGAGCCTTATGTGCAACACCCATACGCACGGAGAATAAGAGCTTTAAATGAATTATAACACTGGTTGTTTCATGGGATTCGTGCTATTTTTGTAATACATACACAGTGGCTTCTTAAAAACAATTCTGACTAAATAGCTTATAAGTGAATTTTCTTTACTAAGGCTATTTTTCATCTATGGGGAATACCAAGTGAACTTGTAACATGCTTTTTCAGGATTGTTTGGCTGCTACAAGAGTGTATATTCAAAATAAGAGTCAGGCAAAGAAGACTATAGAGGGCTTGCATATAAAAAACACCAAGTACACAAGCTATATAAATTATTAGTAGCCAGAAATTGTAAATGTATACAGAAAAGCAAATGCAACCTGAAGTGTAATTTCTGTCCTAACTGTACGTATGTGAGCTTTTGAGGTGCAGAAAATACAGAATTTTTTATTTTTTTTAACTTCCTACGTTTGAAAATTCCCGGTAGACTTATAAAGTTGTAAATTTGGACTCCAGCTCAGAGATCTTTCACCTTTAAGGATTTTTATGCAAGGGAAAAGGATGAGATGTTTCCCTTTCTCCCTTACATTTAGTAAGTGGCTATCTCATAAAAAGAGCATGTGGTTCAGCAGTTTGAAATGCTAGACTGTGATGCTTTCTTTGCAGATAACCTGGTTACTGCAACTGGGTATTTTTTGCACAGCAGCTGCTATAGTTGGTACCATGCCTCCATTGGCATGCTCCTTGTGAGAGTATGTGGTTGCCTTAGGGATGCTTTCTGGTTCTCCACCTCTCATCCTGAAGAACTGAAGGCCATGTGCTATACAGCTGTTGGTGTGTGACGCTTTGTGCTGTTGTGATGGCTTGGGATTTGAGGGAGAACTTCATGACACTGATGATGGCCAGTGGCTTTCTGCATGAAGAGCTACTCTTCTGAGGGACACTGGGTGGTGAGGAGTTCTGCATGTCAGTTGTGTCTGTGTACAAATTCTGTGACATGCATGCATAGGATTCACTTCATTTTCCATGCTTAGGTATTTGTATTTTTGCTCAATGTCTGCATTAATTCATGAACTTTCTACACAGGTATTACTAAAATCTGCATTATAGCACCCAGCTGGAGCATTCAGCGTGGTTTCTGCACAACTGCTGTGCTAGTGCTAGCTGGGCTGAAGTGTATTTCAGTGTTGTTTTTTGTTTGTTTGTTTGTTAGCTTTTAATTCACAGCCCTGCAAAGCCTCAGTCTCTAGAGCAGCTTGGACATGTTAAAACATGGCTTGAT